CATGTTGAAACAATAGTAGTGATCTAGTTATTGCCATTCACCTTTCAGGAGATTGGCATAATCTGTAATGGACCTACTTGTTTTGTGAAGGTGGTCTTGATCTTTAGTTCATAAATCTGAGCTGCATCTCGAACTTTAGAATAAGTTTGTTAAACCATCTCCCTAATTTCTTTTGCAATTAGTAGGAACATGCAAGTGTAACTGACTTCTGGTATCATGAAGTTCCAAAGCCAAACCATGAGTGTGGAGTCTTCTTCATCCTATGCATCAAATCGAGGATCTCTTGGTTGTGGACCTATTCCTGAAGGTGGTCAATTTTTTCTTTACCTTTTAGGACAGTACGAATCAATTGTGACCACTTTAAATAATTCTTTTTATTCAACCGATTGACTGCCTGAATGTGTGGTAATTCTCCAGCTGGATATTGCGATGCAAACCCTTTAGGGTTGGTCCTGGTGGCTGGTAATAACACGACTTTTGTGATGGTTGAGAAAGTGTTGGAGTACGCTTAAGCAGGAAGAATGGCTGGCGCAGTCAGTAGAACAACCCGCAACCTGAAGGAGGCACAGTGGCTACTGGAGATGCAGCAATAGCTGGAGGTGTACGGCTACTGATGCAGCTTGGAGTGGTGCAGCTGCTGATTTAGAATAGTGCAGCTGAAGGAGATTCAGCGGCTGAAATGTCTGCGAGTTGGCTGTTGTGGACCAGCTGGTTTCCTCCGGCTACGAAGACAACCCTAGTTTATGGTTTTATGTTTTGTTTTTTTTCAGCGATAAAGGCTTACTAAAGTTTGTGAAAAAGTTAGGATATTTTTCTACAACTTTGATACCATGTGAGAGAATAGAATATTATGCTTTATTATTAAATAATTTGGTTCATATAAAAACAGCTTTTAGTATAAAGAATGAAGCCCTTAAATTAAGTATGTAAGAGTATTTTACTACAGTACCTTATTTATTAAAATAACACACAGACACTTTTCAACACCAACCTCTTCCTTTAAGCTAAGTCGTTGTGTGATCAATAATGCAGTCTCCTTATTTAAGGTTCTTTATTCTATTCCGAAGCTCCACCTCAACCTTTTCAATAGTTGATATAAGTATTATGAGTTCCATTTCTTTTCTTTTTCCTCTTCTCTTCTGCGTGCCTTGGAGGCTTTTGTTTAGATTATTTCTTACTTTTGGGTACTTGGGGGTTTTATCTGCCCTTGAGTGTTCTCTTCCTTTGAACATTATGGGAGGTGGTTTTAAGACGGCAGCCAATGCTTTGGGAGAGTGCTCTCTTCACTGGCCTATGGGTGCTATGACTAAAGCATAATGAATATTGTTCATGGGTCCTA